GGGCACTGAGCTTTGAAGCCCTCCTTGATTGCTGGCTGCTTGAAGATTGCAGCTTGCCAGCTGTATGGGCAGTTGAGGATTACTTTGTCAACATTATTGCCCCGTGCTTCTTTCAGACCTTTTTGAGAAACCAGGGCTTCCCTCACCACCAGGCTCCCCATGGCTTCTGGTCCCATGCACGGCTGCTCTCCTGGCAGCCTGAGGGTCCTGACTCTACCGGGTGTCCCGACACTCTCAGATGAGAGAGGAGGAGCAGGGACATGAACATGCCCTACTTCTCTATGTGCTGGAGACAGTCTTTGTCCGTTGTGCTCCTCTGCGGAGCTGTAGAAGGAGCAAGGAAGAGCTTGTCAGAAGGAGGAAGCCTGCATGGAAGGCTGTGTCACACCAGCCTGCCTTTGTCTGCCATCTCATATTCCTTTGGAGCAGTCGGCGTGGCTGGGGATGGAGCTGGGAGCTTTCCCAACTGCCCATATATGCGGTTAGCTGGTGAGGATGGAGGGGGAGTGCAGCCACCCCTATCTCATTTGTGCTGCAGGAAGGAGCAGCCAGGGGAATTTGAATGGGGCTGAGAAAAGAGGGAGAGAAAGTGAGCATGTGTGTGTGTGGAAAGGATTTGGAGGGGAGACAGCAGAAAGCAAAGCTGGCACTCGTGCGCTGAGCTGAGAAGTTGCTGAAGAAGCGGGACAAGAGTAGCAATAGTGAATAGCAGTACTGCAAGGCTGGATGCCTGCAGACTAGTTCCTTTGTTCTGATCAGCTTGCTGGGGAATCTGCATGATTCTAATATACAATTCCCTGGGGCTTCATGATGAAACAGGTTTTCCTTCTATTTTCTTCCTCAAAAAAAGCATGCACAGCTGTTTAATGCACAGCTAGTTGTGAGACCACACATGTAGCAACGCAAGTCACACCAAGTCCCAGGACAGGTAGGTTGTCATGGTCTTGTGAACCCATATTCTGTTTGTTGAGCAGGACTGCAACACTATCGACAGATGTATTTATTAATATCCTTTGGCTTGACTTCAATATGTGAGTGACCTAAACATTGTTCGGTCTGAAAACAACATCCTTTTTTCCTTTAATAGCCTACATAAACAGAAAATGTGATGTGTCATACTTTGGACCCCTTTGCTGTGACAACATCCCAACTGGGATGGAAGCAGAGGGCACCCTGCTTTTCCCTCTGAGGCTCTTGGTGTGTGTTCCTGGACAATGAGCAGACTCAGCCAGCCACAGTGGGACAAGCATTCCCTATGTTTCACAAGCCAGCTCAAATGGTAAGACAAGGGACTGGGCAGACAGTACCTACCAACAGAAGGTGATGATCAAGCACAAAAAAGGACTCATCCAGTTTGCAGGTCCTGGAGTACATATAAACATGAGAGCGTGCTCTCCCTTGATTGCTAATACTGCTTACAAGTGACAGGGGAAAGAGGTTCTAACTGTGCATGTGAATACATACATCTCACGCAGGGCTGATTTTGCCCTTTGTAAGGTGTTTTTAGTGACCCTATTCTGCAAGAACATTCTCCCCTCTGCAACCTGTGTGATATTCACAGCCAGCTGGTGGGAACAGTGGTTTTGGTTTATTTTACCCTGTCCAGCTCCTTCTTCTCATTATTGGAAATGAAGAGAGGTGAAGGCAGAGCTGAGGCTGTGCATTGCGCAGTGTCCCATTGGCAGCATCCTGAGCCTGATGATGAATGAGTTTGTTGTGTAAGATCCTCCACTGAGGCTTCAGCATCTCTAATAAGGTGGCCAGTGTTTCACTGTCCTCTGCGCCTGCCTCTGCCTTATTAAGTGCACTGCAGCAATATTAAGCTGGAGCACTGGGCCAGCATGATCAGAAGGAAAGAGGCTGAGAAGGAGCTGGAGGCAAGAAGATAGTGTGGGAGAAGAGGACACACAGAGCAGGAGAATGAGAACACTGTGGGCTGTTAAGGCAGAGGATTAAAACATGGATTCCTGCTGGAGTGATGCATGCAGGTCTGCACAGAGCTGCTACTGGCAGTCAGCAAGGCAAAGGGTGTTTAGGGAGGAGGTGGCAGAGCCAAACCTTGGTCTTAATGTCTCTGTCTGCTGGACCTGTGCTGGTGGCTGCAAGCTGGCACCTGCTCCACATGCACACAGCAAGGGCTGGCTGGAGCTGTACCCTTTTTCTCCCTTGTGCTGATTTCGTGCCCTTTAAACTCTGCTGGCAGGGCATCTGTCCCTTTCTCCCAACCACTGCAGCTAGCCCAGGGGACTCATTTGGCCCATGCTGCTTTTCACTCAGAAAAGCCAGTCTTTGCAAAGACGTCCTGGGCCAGTTCTGTCTGGATGCCAGGACTGTAGGACTGTAATAAGGATGTGCAGAGGGCAGTGAGTTGCCGTGTCTGTCCAAGTTGCAGGTTGAATAGAAACAGGACACAGGCTGAGAGAAGAGGTGAGTCCAAAGTATTTGGTGGAAGCAAAGGCTCCTTGCAAAACTTTTCCCCTATAGTCCCAAGAGGAGGTATATGCCAGGGCCCAGCCCCCAGCTTTTGTTAGTGATCCAGGTCTCTCCTGGGAAGCAGGACAGTTGTGACCTACTGGGGGTGTGTATGTGCCTTTATAAACTCCCTTTTTCACAGCCAAGCCTGTGAGGCAGTCAGGTATTTATTTGCTTAAACCCACGTGCCCCTTAGGATAGACTCAATTAGGGGACCTAGAGCTTTGCAGTCCAGACAGGAGGCTGATTTCTTGGTTTGTCCTGGATTAGGTGATGTGGGAGAGTAAGTGGTTTGACATAGCTCCCAGAGGCTTTAGATACCCAAATTCCACCTAACTCCCAGCTGAGGTGGAATTTGCACTGTCTGAATCTCACCTTCAGGCTTCTCTCTGACAACCCATTTTGTTTCTCTTCTAAAGGTTATGTCTAGATGAGGGAAATGGCTCCTGACCTCCTCCTGTTTGCTGGCTGCCTTCTCCGACACCCCAGTGCATGGCAGCCTGTGGGGAGGAGCTGCTGCCAGCCCCCCCAGTCACACTCCGCTCCCCAGAATGCCCCATGCCAGGAGCCGTTCTGCTCCAGCCTCCTGCTTCAGGCTTGTGACCCCTCCTCTCCTCCCACATAACTGGGGATCCGGTGCTGATGATCCCAGATGAGATCGCTGCTGCTGGGGCCAGCTCTGCTCCCACTTGGCAGAGCAGTGGTGCGGAGGGCTGGCAGATAGGAGGGTTGAAGGGTAGGCATGCCAATTGGATCAGCACCCAGCTTGCATGCATGCAGATGGGGCGTTGTTGATACGAATGGATTCTGGCAGCATCCCCATGACAAGTTCATGCTTGGTTCCCAGAGGCACTGTCCTTGTCCTGGCTGCTGGAACTGCTCCCAGGTGCCTTGTGGGAAGGCACTGAGCTAGGGGAAGGCACGGGAACAGTCCCCAGCCCTCTGACCTGTCTTGCCAGAGGGAGGAGGAGGACAAGGAGGGTGGGGAAAGCAGTTCCTCAAGCAACATGCACCCTGATCTGTTCAGGTGCAAAGGTCTCTTTTAGGTACAGTCTAAGGCAGGTACAAAGGTTTTGTTAACTGTGAGAACCACATGCAGCAACACATTCCCAAGGGCCAGGCCCAGCGTAACACAGTACCATGGCAGGATCTGGTCCTTTCACTTGGGAGTACTGTCCAAACCATGGGCAGATCAACTCAGGTGAGGAGGTGAGCTGTTGAGTCCTGGCCATGTTGGAACTAAACAGAGCTTCTTCATAGGAAGCTCCCTATTGACAGCCATTTCTTCTGAGTCTGAGCTAAGCCTGTATTATTAAACCTTAGCATTATGTATGCTAAGGCTGGAGACAGGCAGAGGAGGGATTGTGTGTGCTTGTTTCTGCCAAGTGCCACATCTGTATTGTTCCTCTGCCCTACCTTGCTGCTGATGGTCTCCACTGTGCCCTCACTCCATCTGCTTGCCCCACACTCTCCACACTGACCTATTTGTTGTAAGCCTTCCTTTCTATGTCTCTGTTCCAATAATCCTGCAACTTCAGAGTTGATGATGAACACTGAGGCTGCTTGTCACGAGAATTGCCTTTGCCGTGAAACCTGTCAGCCTAGAGGATATATCGGAGGCAGAGGAATGCTTAGTGGGACACCAAATTCAAGTTCAGTGGGACAGTGAACACTGGGCCATGGAAAGCCCTGCTGAAGCTCTTTTTATCAGGACCAGCATCTCCAGTAAAATATCTTGCCACAAGGATCCAGGCACTGCACAGGCAGGAAATTGTATCTTCACAATGCAGTCCTTATTCTTGTCCTTCCCCCGCCAAGCAAGCATGACTGTGGCAGGGAATTTTCACTGACACGTAATTCATCATTTTTAGTGGTGGTGGTTTTGACAACAATATTTTCCCCATTATTTTCTTGAAACTTCCACGCTGCCTTAGCAAACTGAACAATGTTCAGCTAGCAAGGTTCAGCTCCTTCCAGCTGGCAACAGAGAAGGAGGGAGCCTATAAATGACTCCACTGACTTGAACTAGACCCCTTGCTCTGGTCTCTGAAGGGTACTGAGGAAGCATGTCAGTAGACAGGTCCCAGCGAAGAACCACACTAAATGTCATGGCAGCCAGGCAGCAAATGAATGATTTCTGCAGCACTGATTGTGAACTGAAAGGTATCTTGGCAAAATGTCATGCTGTGTGTGCACAGGACTTCAGCGCAGTAATAGAGGTGAGCTGGGTTCATTCCTCCCCTCTTGGAGATACTGGTTCCAACCCGGAGTTGCTCCAGGACTTGTAGCTCAAGTTGTCCCCCAGTCAGAGCCACCCCAAGTCTTCCCTTCAGGGAGAGCTCAGGCTCCTGATCACTGTTTTGTACCACGAGTGAGAATTTTCAAACTAATTCTGCACGAATATCTTATTAATAAACCAGGTGTACTTGTCTGTATAGGAAGAGGAGGAACAGGGTGTTAGTGGATAGGATCCCTCAAGTTTCCAGTTTCAGGATTTTCATAACATTATGGGTTCTTTTCCTATGCAGCTGGCTCAGAGGAACACCATCCAGACCTTCATTCCTGTGCAGAAAATGGAGAAAGGCCTGTTGCTGGAGCATGTCTTGCCCAACCTGAAAGTGCCTCAGAGCTATGAAGTTCGTCTGACACCCATCACCAGCTTTGGGGCTGGAGATGTGGCTACCCGCATCATCCGGTACATGGAACGTAGGTGTCTCCTCCTCGGTCCTGACTGCAAGAGCAGGTCTGAGCCTCAGGCCCAGAGACATGGGCATGCTTAGATGTTGTCTCCTGTGATCCTTAGGTGGATCTCTCTGCATTTCTGCATCTATGAAGTTTTGATGGCACAGTGCTATCACATTTTATCACAGCAACAACCATATTTTGGTTGTTGCCATCAATGCAGAGCACTAGATAGGGACCTCTGAGTGTCTCTGTCCTTTACTCAGCAGTTCTGACTCACACTCTCCACTCTGTGGGCAGGAGAGCCTCAAACCCCTTTCCCCTGCCAGGCTACACTGCAGCTTGACATAGTACAGTGGCATATTTTAGAGGACAATCACTGGATACTGCATATTAACCACATGCCCATAGAAGTAAGAGGGTTTCAGGGGGTTTTCAGTTCTTCACAGAGTTGAATACACAGTTCACTAGTAAATCTGTAGGTCTCTCCAATACCCTGAATCCCAGATCATCCCGTTGATACACATTGACCATGCTTCTTTCGCCAGCATCCCAACAACTCACAACTCCCCCTATTTCCTCAACCCTATGATTTCTTTACTCCCCGCAGAAGTTTGAACCCTCTATTTCAGCAGGAAGTACAGATCCCTCTCCTTCTGTGTTTGCATGATTTCACAAAACCCTTTTGTCCTGTGGAATGACATCTGGTGTCCCCAGCATAGCTGTTGTCTGACTTCCACAGTGTCTCAAACTAGTTTGATGACCCTCTTTGATACTAGGCGTTGGTATTTTAGTAGGTGCTATCTCAGTCGTGCTTCAGAAACTGCTTGGGTTGCCATAAGGGTTCCCCTGTGCAATCCTGGGATCACCCCTTGGGTGGGGTTTTCTTAAGGTCTATTACTGCTTGATTCACATTGAGCATCTTCTTCCATCACTAAGGCAGACACCAAGCACTTCTGTTTCACAGAGATGCTGCTAGGAACACCTATGACCTTTCTCAATGTGTTAATTTTATTTTCAGACTTTGTTTGTGACTTGAGGGAGTATTAGCTGTTCTGACTTGTTTTTCTGTTTCCTCTTCCAGCAATCAACTATCCCAACCCAACAGGTAAGTAGCAAGACCTCCTTTGTATTTATGTGGGAATGTAATGCATGCTAGTCCTAAGTGCTCCAGCAGATCAGGAATACACAGCTGCCTTTGCCAAACCTTTTTCCCAAAAAGAGGATGAAGTTGCATACATGAATACTTCCAGCATATAATGCCATTTTTTGTACCTGGAGTTATTGCCAGGAGATACACACTAGAGATATGCCTCCCACTCATACCTGGTACCTCTTTGACTGTGTGGTCTTGAACCCACCCTCCCCTTAACATTAGCAATCTGCATCCAGTATGCATTTTAAATTATTAAATGTTGCCCAAAATATCTGTGTTTAAGGAATGTTTATCTCCCATCCTCTTCTGACCAGGAGTGATACCACTTGACATCCCTGCAGGCTAACATCTCTGCAGTCTCCAGTTCAGATGTGGTTCCTCTTGCAAACTCCTTGAGCACAGTCCCTTCCTTCTTCCCCTCAAGTGTCACCACTGTTTACTTGCTTATTTACCTTCTGGGCATTCCTGCCAAAATGAAGGCCCATCTTTATTGGTCACCAAGAGTTCCTGTTGATTTTAAATGTAGAATACACAATGTCCCAGAATCATGGTCTTTAACAAGAATATGACGGTGCCCACTGAGCATAAAAGAGGATTTCTAGCATGCTTTAAGTAGTGATGGAGTGATCTTCAGGGGAAGAAACAAAGCCCATTTGTTTTGACTGCCAGATACAAGCCCAGCAAAAGCTCTTGAGCAGAGACAGGCAGACTACTTGTTTTTGGTCCATGGTGAGCAGGTGATTCCATGTAGCTGATTCTTTCTCCTATTTCCAGCTACTGAGTCAGCATTTAGTCTTTTTCTCTATTACTCTGTATATGTATAGGCAAGTGCTACTGCTTCACCTCAGAGTAGCAGTGAGGAGAAGCCAGGGTTAGGCAATGGCAGCCAGGAATCAGGGGATGGTGTTACCTTGTTAACACAGCCATGAGGCATTCACTCTTGCAGGTTCACACCCTGGGGGTAGTTTGATGAACTGTACTCTGCTTGAGAGCAGGAGCTTCTTATATAGTCAAAAGGATTTTGTGGCTCTGATTCCTGATTCCCTTTGCTTTGCTTTTCCCTACTTTCTGGGGAAAATTTAAATATTCTTTATAATTCCCAGTGAGAAGACTCACTGGGAAACCCTGAGCCTATTGCCAGGCACATACTTCAGAACGTGTCCCTCGGTACTTGCTGGAGGAGGCAAACATCCCAGCCCGCACGTGACAAAATCTGGCCTCTTGCCGCTTGCTTTTACACTGCATAAATCACTGTTAAAGCCAGAGCAACTTCAGTCCTAATTGTGTCAGTCTCTTGGGGTCTTTGTAAACTAAGCCTTCAGTCTGCTCACCTAGGATTGCTATGGCAGCTTGACTGAGACCAGAACAACTGCATGAAATTTGACTGTGGTGGAGCGTAACTCAGCTACGCGTGTATTTTCATGCGGTAAATCCAACACTTCGAGTTTCTGTTTGATACAAGTTACCCAGCCTGTGGTAGATATTAGGACATGGGTTCATGCCTTGAGACTGACTGCATAAAGACTTGTTTTCAGAGATGCCCCTTCCTTTTCATCTACTGCCAGTGAAATGTGAGCCCAAAGGCTTCTGGGCCACAGCTCAGTTCCCAGATTCTCATCCTAATACATGGAAACCCATGCTACTACCTCCTATTTTCCCACTTCCCCTGCTATCACCGCCTCCAGGGAAAAGGCTTGGCACAGCATTGTAAAAGTATCTTCATGCTAGGCTGCTCAGCCAAATTCTGGGAGCAAACATTGAGAGCTCTCGAGTGAAAGGCAAAGATTAGATGATTAATGCCGCTGGCAGCCTGATCCAAGGGCATGCACAATGGTGATTAATTTACAAACTCTGAGAGTCACTTAATGCAATTATTCCTTCATGCATTTTCCTTCTCAGGCTAACAAGATGTTAATGACATTGGGGCAGGCATGCATGTAGCATGGCTACAGAGCCAGGTAATGGGGTTATTAAGCAATAACAAAGTAAAAGTAGAGGAAGTGAACAAAAGACATTGAGGATTTCAAACATTTAGAGGTTAGTGGCAAGACTGACTTAAAACTCTTAAAAATCAGTTAATCTGGTTCTAAAAAAAAACCCAGAATTTATCTTAAAAAAAAATGCCTTGGAATTATCTTAATTCTACAGTATTACCTTAAAGGTTTCTGTGAATAACTGACCATTGTAATGCCATGACCAAATTCCAGTGCTGGGCAATTTCTGTTGTCCTTCTTACTTCTCCCATGCAATTTCCTTTGGATATAGCCTTCACTTTCTAACCCAAACCTTGCAGTGCTGCCTAACAAGCTATTTCAGATCATCAGCAGTGGATGGTTTGGTTTCCCTGGCTCTAGCAAGAAGTAGCCTTGCAACCTCGATGATGAAGGCATCAAGAAGCATAAGGGTTGGCTGTTTGTTTTTTCCTTTCGGCCAGTGTGTCTTGCCCTTCCAGAGCAGCAACACTATTTCTCACGTATCTGCAGTCTGGCTGTGTGTGGTGCTAAAATGTTTTGGGATCATAAAAAAGTACAGTGAGTGGTGATAAGTACCAGATGCTGGTTGTTGTAGATTATCCAAGGCTCCTTGCTTAATCTCTGATGCTTGTGTGTCCCATCTGTGATCATGCCTCATAGTCCAGAGGAATCTGAGTTTTTTGCCCCATGAGCATGTAAGAATGAGATGTGAACCTGGTGTCCAGAGCTGGATTCCTCAAATCTGTGCCCATTCCTCAGGAATGTGTATAACAGGAAGGTGAAAAAAGGTCACTGACACCAATTCCTGTATCCTGATGGCAAAGAGGACTGTATGGGCCATATTATCCCCTTGTTGCAGATAGAGATATTAAATCAAATGGCAATCCAGTATGACCCAACCTGTTATGGTATTGTGAAGCTTTCTTCCATTACTGGTTAAAAATGCTTTAGAAACTTACCACAGTAGATGCTTTTTCTTAGATCTCAGCATACATTGAGGTTGCAATACAGTTTTCATTGTCTTCATCATCTAGATGGGGAAACTGATCACCAGAGGGAAAATGATAGCCTGTGGGTCACACAGCAAGTCTGCAACAGAGCTGAGGCTTGAAGCATGGTCCCTTATACTCCAAGGCAGTGTCAGTCATCAGATCACAGCTAAATGACAAAGGCAATTTTATTCAAGTGCATTCCATCTGCTATTCACTCATGGTCTGTAGCTAGAACAGGATTATTGTTATTTGCATTCATCTAGCAGACAGTATTTCAGGCCCAGGGATGGCTTCTCCCTAAGGACTTGAAATGAAAACCTCCCTTATGTTTCTCAAGAAGGCAAAGTAACAAGAAATGCTAATAGCCACAGCAAAGGGTCTCTCCACAGGGGATGCAGGGAGGTTTCTGTAACTGGGAGCAAACATCTCTGCACTTTGAGCTGCTGCCACTGAAAAGCCTGACAAGGAAATCTGCTTGGTGAAGACAGCACTAACTCCAACCTTTGAGGAACCAGTTCCCCTGCCACCTCCACCTCGCCTCTGACAATCCAGAGAACAACTTCTGTGTTCAATATTTAAATCCACTCTTTAATTTTTAAACAGGAAGCTTCCTTTGCACCACAGTGCTGAGCCAGGATCCCTGGCAGATGGTGTGAGTCTGCAGGAAGGTCTGCCGAGGTCAACAGTTAGATCACCGCTGTGGCCTCGAAGCACCCAGCAGGTCATTTAAAGGTTTTCTTTGCAGCTGTATCTGCCAGGTTTCCCCTTGTGAGCCTTACTGGTAACACTCCTGAGCTAATGTGCTGGCAGTGGCCTAAACCGCACCAAACATCTCTCAGTTATTCTGGGCACCTTCACTTCTAGCTCAGACAAATGCCAGAGCTTTGCCTTCCTGTGGCTTGTTTTAAACCAAAAGACCAGGAGTCAGAACACTTGGATTCTGTTTACAGTTTTGGCATTGCCTTCTGTGACCTTAAATGTACTTCTCTATTCTTTTGTGCATCTGTTTCCCTATGTGTAATGCAGGAGATACATAGAAAAAGGCATTACTACCTCAGAGAGATGTTAAGAAGCCTTGTTCAGTCTTTGCAAAGTGCCTTGAGATCCCAAGTTAAGCAGAGGCAATGTGCTGTAGTTAGAAACTCCTGCACAGCAAATGGTGCTGCACATAAGCTTAATCACATTGTGGTATCTGTGGGATATCTAGGACCCTTTTCTACTTTATGATCTCTACCTCCTCTAAGTAGCTGCATCTGAACGAGAGGAGAGGACGGAGTCAGTGCCCTGTTTTGGCATTAGAAGAGCTCTCTTCAAGCTTTTAAGTCTTCTTCTATGAGCAGTCTTCTCCCGTGGGTGTAGGAGATTTCTTACAAACAAAGCAGATGACACAACCAGGCCTCAGCAGTAGGCTGGGAATACTGTCCTCAGTCCTCTTCTCTTGCACAGCTCTCTGATCTCCACCTGAGCCTGGGCTTTCTTTTGGTTTCTGTACCTTGTCCTTTAAGGGTTTGCTCCTTCTCAACCAGTTGCCTGGCTGGCCTCTGTGTTAGAACTTTATTCCCTGTTATGGGAATTTTGTGCAGGAGAAAGATGTCCCCTTTCTCCTCTGAAGGTGAGAGGTGCAAACCATTGCAGTGCCTTTGACTGAAAAAGGACATTCATGGTGGATCTGCTGGGTAGGATAATGCCATCATAAGAGAAGACTTGTGTCTTTTAACTGCAGCTGGCAACCTGTGAGCTGGAGCCGCACAAATGTTTGTTTTGATGGAAAGAAGTCAGGGGCATTAGAACAACATGGAAATAACAGAAAGCTTTTGGGCTCCGGACTGTCCTCTGAGGACCAGTGGGTGTCTGATACAGCCACAAGAGCTGGGGAAGGACACTTAGAAGCTGATTTCTCACTCTTTTCTGCCCCCATCCCATGTAGTTGCCCCACCTGAGACCCTGCCAGCATCTGTCCTGTCATCTGCTTCCCACTCCTCCCTCCTCCTTCATCTCCAGCTGCCGTGTGACCCTCTGTGCTCAGCGCTGCAGAACAGTGCCTAATTTGGATTAGGAAGCTAATTAGAAATGAGCGGATTGTACAGAAAGCACTTAGCCAGGGTTAATCAGCAGTTAAGTGGTAGGCCCAACCGAGCTCCCGATGGCTGTACTCAGCTCGCAGGAGCAGCATTTCCCCCTGAGCTTACAGAAAACCCAGCTGCCCTAGTCCATAAACCAAGCCCTTAGCTTGCAGCACAGTGCCCAACCTATGGTGGCAAAGACCTTTTTCTGAGCCATAGCAGGAGGCTGCCTCCACTTTTCTCACAGCTTTGGTGGGATGCTGGACAATGACAGGCAAGAAGGGGAACCCACTTCTCTACCACATGGGTGTGCAGGCTGTTGGTTTGTTTGGATGATGGTCATTTTCATTTCCAAATGAGAGGGGATGCAGAGGGCCTTGGCTGCAGAGTAGGAACCAGGAGGTTTAGCATCTCAGAGTCAAGATGCTGTTCATTCATGGGTGGTCTTTTCTCTCTGGTACAAGATGGCACATTTTGGTGTGCATGGATAGGTGTGTGAAGTTCCTACATCAGAGAGTTCCACGTCAGGAGCTTTTGGCCCTGGCATTGCAGAAAGCCCGTCCCATCCTTGGCACCCAGCCCATAGGTTGCTGACCCTGCTCTGCCCTACGTGTTTTGCCAGTCACCCATGCTAGGACAGAGAGCTTCCTGCCCAGGAACCAGAGCAAACCATCAATGAAGATATAGGAGCCCAAGTAGACATTTGGGCTTCTCTTCATCTGGGCATGATAGCAGGAACAGTGAGGGCGGTAAACCCCAAAAAGTTGATCCTTGTACCAGCATGCCATGAATGAGGTTTCTGGCACTTCCCAAGCCTTTAGCAAGAGCCTTGATTTTCTCTCTGTATGTGCTCTTCCAGGGGTTTTGAGTACTTTATCTTTCCGTTTCAGAGCACACGTCCTTGCTTTTACATAAAGGTAGAGATCTGTACTTACTGTGTCTGCACCACTCATGAGGTCTGAGATCCCACTTTCTTCCCATTCTCCAGCTCTCTTTTTTGCCCAGGGACCTTTCAGAGCACAAAGTACTTTTCACATCAGGTCTTGGACCAGTTTTCTCTTCTGCCTGTTTCCTCCATTTCTCTCCTACTGTGTCTGCAGTGTAAACCAGGTTCTTGGACTTCTTCCTCTGTGGCTTGGGAACTACTTTTTTATTGCAGGCATTACCATCTTCAGTCTGGTCAAGTCCAATTCATTCCAATCTCTGCAAGACGATATTGGGTTACGACTATGCACAAGATTTTTCACCTGTCTTACAATATTGCTGTAGGGTGTAACTGTCTTGTGGTGGTAATAAAAGCAAGCCCTGCTGCACACGTGGTTGATCCTACATAAAAATCTTTTACCTACATGACTTATTTTGTTAGGGGAACCAGCATAATTTGCAATATCAAATGTGCCTTTTAGCTGGTATAAATTGGATATACTCTAGCTAAATGACACATTCATAGCGCCGAGCTGACCTCTTCTCCACAACTGAATTTTTTTCATGTGCACCATAGTTTAGTTAAATATATAGCCCAAAGGGGGGTCATCTGCTGTAGCTTTTTTCTCTCTCCTGGGGAAATTATTCTATCATCAAGTTGTTCTGGTTGAAAAGCCTCTGTGGCCCGTTTGCCTTCAATGTTGGTTTTTTTCACCCTCCTCTATGTTTGCCCCTTCAGACCTCCCAGCAGAATCTCTCTTACTCTTTAGCCTTCTTCCATTTCGTCAAACCAACACATCCATCAACCTGGAATTAAGCCTTCCATAATCATACTAATCACAGATATATTCCTTCTCAGCCTCCTCCTGGGGTTGTGGGCTGCCCATCTGTCCCCAGCTTGATGCAGAACCTCAGTGGTGATGTAGCAGTGCTGTAAGACATGCTGCAGGCATCCAGGCACCCCTGGGGAGGAGGTTTGAGAAGCAGCAGCTGACCACCCCATTCCGTTCCCCACAGATAACACTTGCCGCTTTGAGGACGAGAAGATCTGTGGCTTCATGCAGGACAAGATGGACAACTTTGACTGGACCCGGCAGAATGCCCTGACGCAGAACCCCAAGCGCACGGTCAACACGGGGCCCCCCACGGACATAAGCGGTACGCCGGAGGGTAAGTACACATTTGGGGTTCTTTCGGCTTGGCTGTGGAGGCGAGATGTACGCTGTTGCTTGTTAGGAGTCCTACAGCTCTGGGAGCTGGTGGAGCACTGATCTGCTTTCCACACAACATGCTGCTCCTCTACACGGGTTGCAGGGAGCAGGCAGTTAATTTGCATGTTACTGATTGTCATTAAACACACAATTAAAACACCCACGACTTTGTTTAAGGGAATAGTGTGAGCATTAGTTCTTGTTACTAGCTAATTGCCTGCTGCCTAATGCCCTTGTCCCATCTGATGCTTAGTTTGAAGTCAGAAAAGGATAAGCAAGTAGGAGAACATCACTAACAACTAGAAACCACAATGCTGGTTTTACACAGATGTTTCTTAAAGAAAGTCTTGTGGAGGCATACATATCTCCTTAGTACCAAGCAGGAGCATGAGAGACCAGGCGGGAGCTGCCTGCGGGGTTGCAGCAGGTGCCTCACAGAGCTCTAGCTTCCAGCTAGAGAGCTGGAAGCGACTGCTGTCGTGTATTGCTCATGCTAGCTGTGCACAGAGTACATGCCCCCATTTTAGCTGGGCATTACTTTCCCCTTTCTCTAATGAGGAAAGTAAATTTGTATGCAAGCACAAATCTTTGAACTCAGAAAAAATGGGAAACATCCAATGGCCAGATAAGGAAATGGCTTTTCCCATTAGTGTTCAGTAGACCACCCTGATTGGGCATTGAAAACTATGCCAACAAATCAAATAGCTAATCTGTTCTTCCCTGAGTTAACAACTACCTTGGTATTGCTCCCTTTAGACAACAATATTGTTTAGGCCAGATACACTGAATACTCACTCCCTCAGCTTGAGGCAGAGAAATTAGGCTGCAGTGTTTTCTCCCTTGTTTTTCTGATTTTCTCCTTACATGGTGCAATCAGCTCTGGGGCTCCTCATACTGCAGGAGAAAGGCTAGGTTTGCATCCAGACAGATGTGTGTGCACATGTTCAAGCACTCATCTGCTGCATGACCTCACAGAGTGTCTGCTGGCATCCATCCTAAATCCTGCTCTCCTAAATACTGCAGAGGATAGGCACTGCAAACATCCTGCAAGTGTCTATGGCTGGGATCACAGTGGGTGCAGGGCCAATGAGGAGAGCAAGGCCATGTGTCTGAGAGGAGGAGTGGTGTCCCAGCCTCCGGCATCCCATCACTTGCAGGAAGTGAGAAGCGGTGCCTTTCCCCACCTTTCCCTCTTGCTCTGCAGGTTATTACATGTTCATCGAGGCATCCCGGCCCCGGGTAACAGGAGACAAAGCCCGGCTCATCAGCCCCCTCTACAACATTACTGCCAAGTATTACTGTGTCTCCTTCTACTACCACATGTACGGGAAGCACATCGGTGAGTATCCTCTAGGGAAAGGTAAATAGTGCAGGCTGTTGGGGGAGACCTCCATCCTCTGGTTCTGCGAGCTGTGCCTGCAGCCTGCAATTCAGGAGGGTGGGAGTCCTATTCCAGTGCTCGAAGAACCGGGGTAGGATGCTGCTGTCAGACACTTGTCCTTTACCCACGCACTAGCAGTGTCAGGGTTGTGAGGCTGCTGCAGCCTACGCTCAGGGCAGTATCTTGCAGTCAGCCATCACCCCTTCCCCTCTGGCTCAATCCTCATCTAATATAAGGCTCCCCTACTCTCCACAGAAAAGAGCATTGTAGCCATGTGTGTACATTTTCCCTGCTCATGGCCACAGCTACCTCACTCCAGGCAGCAGAACACCAGGTGAACAGTCCATCCATTGGAAGGGAGACAGAAGTGGAGGGGCTATGTTGGAGCAGAGGGCTCTCTGGTGGCTGCAGCTATTTTGGGGTGGGCAGGATTCATGTTCCTTCAGCTGTGCCAAGGGTCTCTCTGCTCTGCCTGACTCCCTCCTCTCTAACTGTAAGCCTATGAGTGCAGCAAGCACCCCAGAAGTGCCTGGCACACTAATGAGTTTCCATATCCAGTCAAGGAGCAATTGCTAATTCGTCACCTCTTGATTATAATTTCATTAATTTGAATAATAGATGCACTCTTCCCACAGCACACTGGGTTATTAATCACCTGCTGGACTGGAGCCTGACTGAAAAATCAGGGCCCAGGCAGGAATGTGTCCGCCCTTCAGTAAACGGGGTTAATTAACAGTTCTCTGCTCAGCACCATTGAGGTCACTGGGAGGGAACATGCTCCCAAGTCTGGCCGTCACATCTCTGCACGCGTATGGCATGGCAGAGAGGTTAAGATGTAAAATCTGGGATCTCCTTCTCTCAGTGAGGTTGAGGCTGAAACCCTGACCCCATGGATGCCAGGGGTAAGGGCTGGGCTGTGGGTCACTGAGCAGGTCTGCATCTCTGTTTGCTCTGAGGGTTGGGTTCATATTTGCTGTCTGCACTCAAGAGTCTGGCTAAGTCAGAGATGTTTGCATCACCTGTATTCCCCCTACAACCAGGCTGCTCTGTGGTGTTTTCAGGTGGTGGCAGGTTGCTCAGGTGGAGCAGTGGCAGTATAGGTGCACACTGGGTTTTCCTGGTCTTGCTCAGCTGACAGAATCCACTCGTAAATGCTGGCTGGCAAATTCCCTTGCTCACTGCAGTTGCCCGCCATGGTCAGTCAATTGCTGCCCAGTTCCTGCATGTCTTCTCCTGGAGGCTTTGAGAGGGACCTCATCTTTGTGATTGCAAAGGAAGGTGGCCCAAACCAGTGGGTGACTGGCAAGGAAATAAGATGTGGAAGGAGGAGGCTTATTTTGCTTTGTTTCCTTTAGGAATACAGCTATGTGTCATATTTCCAAGTTCATGAGGAAAGTAAATGCCCACTAGCTTTTTCTTCCTTTTGAAACAGAGCTCTGTTTTACAGCTCTGATATGGTGGTCTGTCTGTAGATGGGGTGGACTGAACATGACAGGGAATTAATTCATTACACGTTTTTGGCTTCTAGTCTTTTAACTCTTTATTTATTTGCTTCACCCACAAATTGCCCAGAGCAAAAGATACAGTGACTCCCAAGACTTTAGAAAGCCATAGAGTGCAATCTATTCCTCGGCTTCAGGCACCTTTTATGTCTGTTGATTTTTTCCTTCATGCTCCATGTTGCTGCTCCTGCCTGCTCCTCATTATTCCCCTTGTTGCACAAGGAGACTGATGAATTTGTACAAGGTGGATAGACTCTTTAACGGATACAACCATTTCCAGGGTGGATGTTGCAGCGCTGAGAGCAAATAAATTATTTAAAAATTAGACTGACTAGAGAGAGTCAGGGAATGAAAGAAAAAGAAATGAGGAAAAGTTATTTTCCTCTTGGCCTGTGGAACATGTGTGTTAGTCTAGCAAACCCACAATATATCTGCCTGCAAATTGAACTTCAGTACTTTGTAGCAGCTCTCTACTCAGGAGAGAGTATATCTTTCAGGCCAGTCATGATATTCTGTAATTGTTTTGGCTTCTGTTCTACATATCAGGGCACCAAGGTGAAACTGAGATTTCAGGAAAATTCAGAAGGCCTCGTAATCCTAAAAATGCCTGGTTTTTGTCATTCCCACTATGCTATTTACTAAATCTTACACTACTTTTGATTGTTTTCCTTACTGCCACACTGGCAGCACTCTGGCATAGTTGTCCTCATCCCTGCACATGCACGAACGAACCTGCATCTGGGACACGCTCTGTTTCACCAGCAGGTCTAATGGCTTATCTACATTTCTAATGCACTTTGGTTATTCCCTGCCTGGTTTTGCTTGTGTGGAGGTTGTGAAACCCTGCCAGAAAGCTTCGCTTTCTTCAGATGGTGCCAGGCTCTATCTATGCCATTGGTCCCCTGGGGAAGTGGCAGCCTGCCTAAGGGCAAAGCAAGTTTCTTCAGGTGGTCTTCTTTAGCCCTGGGTTGGAAGAGAGTGACCCTCTCAGGTACAGGGCTCCTTGCTAGGACTTATCCTGTGAGATGAGGAGGCAGATCCTGGCCTTCTACCTGTATCGTATAAGCAACCATATGAAGGTAAAGATGGGGTGACTACAGCCCTGGGCCATGTCCTGCTCCCCACCATAGCCAGCAGTATCTGACGCCATCAGACACAGCCCCAACCCCTGTCTCACCCCATGCCAGCCCAGTGCTGTCAAGCCAGATGCCATCCCTGCTGAGCCAGCCACAGCACTTAGCAAGAGCCACCTAGATTGCTCCTCTTGGCAAGGGGACATCTTCCAGATCGACCCTCTGCTAGCAGCTCCAGCTCCACTGAGGAGCAAACCAAAGCTTTGTCACTATGAAAAGAAGCTGTATAAAATCCTGACATTTATTTATTTTTTTAATAACCCTTTTATTACCTTTTTTTCCCCCTCTACAGAACTTGAAAGCTGGCTTACTCTCACAATTTGACTATAAAATATCCATAGCCATCCAGGCAAATCTTCCCTGGGAGAGTTCCCAGACACTACTCGTTTATAATAGATATGATGAAAGAGAGAAACAGAATACAAATGGAACATTTGTAGCCATGGCATAAGATATTCAGCAAGAGGCAGAACAGGGTGATGTTGAATATGAGAGAGCAGGTTGAAGGGGAGCTCCCTGGAGGCAATTCCCATTTTTCTGGAATTATCTGGCCTTTGGTTTTCTTTCCTCTAGCATCCTTCAGAGCAAGCGTTTGCATTGCCCTACAATCCTGCCAGCCAAAACACAAAAATCAGGGGGAGTGGAAGGAAAGAAATCCTGTTTCCATGAGGTATTCAAAACCAAGGGTGTCTTACTGGCAGAAGTCATCAAATGAGGAATTGCTTGCTTTCTTCAGGAGAGGGAGTTTGCCGAAGCAGGCAGTGACCAGTCACCCAGTTCCAAAAGCCTCTTTGTCGAATTAGCTTGGTGAGTGAGCATTGCATTTGAGAGCAGATCCTCAAGTCCTTGCTTCAGCCATGAGACTCCTCTTCCTCTCTTTCCAGGGCTGCCTACACAGGGGATTCTCTGAAGGGACAGTGTTGTCAATGGGCTGCTCCCACTGCAGTCCTGGCTACCTCTCTCATGTCTCATAGCTCAGTGGTAGTCAAGTTATGACCTGCACAGCCTCCTGCCTGCTGCTAGATGCTCTTGCAGACCCTGCAGCAATAGAGGCCTGCAAAGAAGGTTGCTCAGAGGGAAGAGGAAATTTCAGTGGATTTAGCTTTTTGTGTAGCCAACACTATAATAGCTTCCTATCTCATGAGCCAGTGACTGTGCTTGTGGGGAAAACACTTGAGTCAACAAGTTTACTTGCTCTCAGGAGTACCTACATAAAAGCAGTGATGTAGGATGTACCAAAGCAGCATTTTTTCAGATTACTTCTGATTTGCGAGCTTACTGGTAGACCCTTTGCAAACTATGTTTTCTGTGTTTTTAATAACAGTAGTCTTTACATACAGGCTTATGACGTGGTATGGTCTCAGAGAGGTGAAAAAGCAAAGACATCTCCTTGCCCTGGGGTGCTTCCCAAGATAGGACTGTTCAGCTGCTACCTGTAGTGAAAGTGTCAAGTCCTGAGCTTCAAGAGCTGAGCCTGACTGAATGCAATGTCTGAAGACCCTGCTCTTGTCTTTCAGTTTTTGTACTTTAAGCATCCTTTCTGCACTAGCAGTATCATGGTCTTGGCCAGTTCCTCTCCCAACAATCAGGGAATGGGCTCATTTTCTGACATGTATCCAGCACCTGTGACGTTGTTCAAGGTGCTCTTGTTCCAGCTTAGTGCTAACACAGACCTTATCTGGCCACCCCAGCTAAGCGTAGCCTACGTATAATCAGGATTGGAAGCTTTCAAACTACTCATTGCTTTCTACAGCTTCATAAGGAGGGGAAGTGGAGAGAGAGGTGTTGATCTCTTCCTGGTATCCTGTGACAGGATGCATGGGAATGGTTCAAAACTGCATCAGGGAAGGATCTGACTAGACGTTAGAAACGTTTCTTTACTGAGAGGGTGGTCAGACACTGGAGGAGGCTTCCTAGAGATGTAATTGAAGTAGTCAGGCATTTGGACTAAATGATGGCTGTCAATCCCTTCCAACTGAAGTATTCTTTTCCTATTTCTATTCTATCGCATTCCATACTGTTTTATTCTATTTTGGATAATGTGAGGAACAGGGATTTTGGTTCTCAGTAGCAACAATGAGATCACTTGCCACATCATCCAGGTTCAAGAAAGCCATAAGGTATCTCAGAGGTCATGGTGGACGAGCACACATAGGAACTAATATTAGCGCAGATGCCACGTGGCTGCATCTTGTTTCTGAGAAGTGACAACAGTCAGAGCTGTCAGGTCACACAGATTGATAGGTACCAGCTATTTCAATGTAAATGCAATTTGAACCAGGAAGACATCCTTTTTGTAAGACTCAACATTGTAGCTTCCTCA